GTGTCGGTCCTTGATCAACGTGCCGAGGGCTTCGAGACGAGCAGCAGCCTTCTGTCTGTAGGCTTCCTTTGTGGCGTCGGTCGCAGAAGAGGATGGTGGTGGCCGAAAAATAGGATGTACAGTTGCCACCGAAGGGAGAGCTGGACGGATGTGGAGAAGCTCCTTGGCGGAGATCGCCTCGTCCTCGTCCCACTCGTCCTCGTCGGCCCATTCCCAAGAGTCCTCCTCCTGAGGTGTCGTTGTCGTGGCAAGCTTCGTAGCAGGGCCAGGAGCTGGAGGAGGCTGAGCAGTACGCCACGGAGGGACGGACGGTGCTGCACCTCCAGCTCGGGTCGGGCCTTTGGACTTGTCCCTGGACTTGCCCCTGGCGGACTTGTCTTTGCCCTTGCCTTTGCCCTTGCCCTTGTCCGAGGTCTTCCTCAGAGCGGTGTCGGGGGACGCGGGCGGCACACAGGTACGGCACGTAGTATAGGCCGTCCAGTTGATGGTGTGGCACTCTTTGCACTGCCAGGTAGACTTGGTGGAGGCAGCACCAGGCGAGGACCAAAAGGACACCTTTTGCGACTGAGCCATGCCTTCTTGTCTGCTGTGATGCGATTCGAGGAGTCGCTTTGCTCCTGCAATGCGCCCGATGGCTCGCGCCAGCGAGCGCTTCGCACGTTCACGTCTTGTGCCACGCAGGCTCGGGGAAATGACGGACAGCCGTCGTGGCGGCGGCTATCGCGCGGGGCCGTCTCGGGGCGGGGTCCTCGCGGGTGCCTGGCACCTGCACCCAAAGGTCCCTGAGCCCGGACGCCAGCCGTGTGGAGGAGCGGCGAGGGGAGTAGGGAGCCATTGGGAGGAGGGGTGGATGGGAAGGAACCCGTGTGTAGGAGGAGGGGGTGGGAGCTCGGAGCAGTCAGCAGAGTGGAGTGGAGTGAAATGGGGAGAGGCGTGGGGAGCATGGCTTGCGGGCGAATGCGGTCGGGATCTGTTCGTTTAGCGCGGTTTGCCGCCAGTCCTGGCCACCACTCCTCAGCGCGACACGCTGATCGCGCCCCGGCCCCTGGGCATCAGCGTCCCGAGCCTGTTCCGCCCTCCCGCCCCGCGAAGCGGAGCGACACGCTATCCGCGTGTAAGGCATAGCGTGCCGACGGGACCGACGCCGCAACACGCCAAGCAAAGTTCCCGACAGTATGTGGGAGTGGGAGGAGGGGAGGGGTGCGGAGGAGGGCGGAAGAGCGCGGAGTAGTGAGAAGGATTGAGATTCAGCACAGTTGAGCACGGAGGATTCCAGAGGTGTGCGGGGGAATTGCGAGAAGAGCGGAGGGGGAGCAACGCGATGCAACAATGGACGGGTGTTCGCCACCATAAAAAGGAAGTGCCGATCGTTTCGAAGCTCGCAGCGCCCATGGGGGGGTAACAGCTTGGACAGGTATAAAGCCGCACTCCGCTGGACCTTCCCAAAGCGCACGAAAGTGTCGACCGTTGCACACTTGGCAGCGCCAAAGGAGGGGAGGTCTAGTCTGGATCTGTGAAATGCCGCACTCCGCTGGAGAGTTCCGCAGTTGGCAACGCCCAGGGAGGAGGATACGTAATAGTTTGGATCGGCGTAAGGCTGTACTACTCTGGTTCTCCCAGGAGCTCTCGAACGTGCCGATTCTTGGACAGTTGGCAGCCCCCCGGGAGTTGAGGTTCAGTTTGGATCTGCGCAAGACCGCACCCCGTTGGACCTCCCCAAAGCGCAAGAAACGATTCTGCAGTCGGCAGCGCTCAGGAAATGGTTCAATACTTCCAAGGAGGACAAGATTTCGCTTGGATCCGCGTAAGACCGCGCTCAAACGCACCCCCCATGAGTTCATGAAAAGGGCAGCAGCTACGTATTCTGCAACAGCTGGCAGCACCTCTCGGAGGCGAGGCAGGTTTGAGATATGAGGCAGGACGGGGGACGGGGCAGAAGGAGGGAGGCGGGAAGAGCGGGAGGAGGAGCAGGGTGAGTAGGAGGAGGAGGAGGGGGAGGAGGAGGAGGAGGAGAAAAGGAGCAGCAGCACTCTGTTCAAAACGGATACCAAACTAAATGAGTCATGGGACAGACTACGTCAGATTACGTCACAAAGAAACACAATGCATCAGTCCAGGAGCAGACGTCACAGCGTTGCGTTTCAAAGGAGGCCAGCGGATCACTAAATAGCTCAGCATATGGCATAGCAGAAGATAATAGATAATTGCATCGTATCAGATACGTTCAACGCGCAGGTAATCATAGCACAGAGTAGCATAAATAGCAAAGCGTAGCACAGAACAGCACGGCAGTCTTGGAGCGTCTTGGACCTCCGTAGCAGGCTGTAGCAAGGGGCCAGGATTGGGAGAGACAGGAGACACAACACGAGAGAGAAGGCCGGACGCCATCAGTCCAGCGGTATACTTTGCAGCCTCGTGCCCCCAGGGGGTTGCAGATTTCCACCGGCACTGGGACCCACTGTAGCTGACGCAGGCGGCACGCCTCCAACGGGCACCAGACTCCTCGCTTCGAGTCTGGCGCGGGTTGGCGCTGGATGCCCTTGCGCAGCAGCGTCAAGTCAGGTCTGGCCGAGGAGCCCGTGGAGGCCCCTCGCCCCGCAAACGGAGGCGGAGGGCGTGAGACACTACGGCAGTGGCTCGCGCATGCAAGAGGCATTGCGGCAATGGCTCGCGCATGCAAGAGAAAGGATGCTGCAAGAGTCTACCAAGTTGTGTCATGCGTCAGGGGTGCCGACACATGTGATTGAGGAAAGGATTCTCCCATCGCTGCCAAAGGAAACGCTTTTGTTGGCTGTGGACGGCATCCATGGGACTCGTGCCGCGCTGGTGCTGCAGAAACGCATCCACATCGTCTGTCCACCGACGCCGCGGCCGACCGCGACGTCGGGGGCCAGCTGGGCGCCAGTGTAAAACTTGCGCGGGCCATTCTTGCGACCCGCTGGTGGCAATGCCGCTACGAGGCGCCATGGTGCAAAGCAATGCGCATTTTTCGCTTGCATCGTCCCCCCGCGTCTGCCCAGCTTTCACTGGGAAGCTTGCTGAAGCCAGCTATCCGACGGAGCATGTTTGAACGAGTAGATGCAATCCTAAACATATGTTGTGCTGTCATGGCGGTCGTTGAGAGACCGTAGGCAGCAGTTGGCGTAACCACCGCGTCGAAAAGCTCCAAGCAAATGCGCGAAGGTATAGCTTGATTCAAACGTATTGCTTTCTGGGAATGAATCTCCCACATGCGCACTCCATGCGATAGTTGACATTGTATTCTGATCTGCACCGCAAGTCGCCTCCGAATTTGTTTGCCGAGATACTTGTGGAACGCCTGGGACGTCATGACAGGTGGCAGCCGTCAATCTGCAAAACGAGAGGCTCGTCGACTTTGGAAGCATCAACGCGTCTTGTTTGCATGTAGTGACAGGCCGCACGCTGACAATTCTTCCGAAATAATGTCCAGCATGCAAGGAACCTCTGCGGCGGACCGAGCTTAAAGTAAAATGGAATCCGCGTGCCGTATGTTGCTAAGCAAATCGGCGCCTCAAACGTCGACGCCACACTGCTGAACTCGTACTTCGAACCTCCGAGCTGCGTGCTCCAAGCCCGCGTTTAAGAGCAACGCTGACAAACCGTCCCCTTGTTTGACGCTGCGGACAATGGTCAACGCTGCGTGTTGACGCTCCCCCATTGGGAACTGTATATGTTTGACAAAAGCCGCACGTACTCTGCGTGAACTCCCTGCTCCGACAATACCTGGAAAAGCATGTATAGCTCCAGCCAATCGAAAGATTTTGTGAGGTCAATGCTAGCGATCCACGGCGGCAGCTGCCAGTCCCAAGCTTTCGTGCAGACATCCTTCAACAAAACTGCAAAAGCGTCGTCCACGGAACGGCCCGGGCGAAATCATATTTGTTCTTGCGTCTGTCCTTTTTCCAGATCAGGTTGCAAGCGTGCAAAAAGTAGGCGGGTGCAGAACGGCGTGATATTATACGAGCCAGTGTTGCAATATGCCGCTGCCCACTCGTCCCTGCTAGTGCCGCAGTCAAGAAATCGGCTCGAGCGAAGCTTTACACACATCACAATCTAATGGACAACGCTTGCTCTGCTGCGAAGGGAACATGTGCACGCGAGGCAAATGTTTAATACCTTCAAGCTTCAAGAACTGCCAAGCAGCACGCTCATCATAGTAATGTCGCATGCGTTTACGGTGCTCTCTAAAAATGAGCTTGGACATTCTAGGCCGTTCTTGTGGGTCACGTGTGCCGCGTCGTTTCCAGCGCATCTCTCGTAACTCAGGTCCGTCCCATGGCTTCGCATGCGGACGAGCAACTTCACTCTGAGTCGATGCTTGCCTGGCCGATGCAGCAACGTGGCCTTCCACTTCACAGAGGGAGGGAGGGAGGGAGGACGACAGAGATTCAGACAAAGATTCTTGCACAATGCTTTCATAAACCCGATCACAGCCTTCGCCGTCCAGAGACGGGCTCCACCGAGCCGCGTCGTTCCAGCGTCCCTTCCGGCGTCGAGAACTTGGGTCAAGCTTAGACATCCCATGAAACACACGATGGTCAGAACCCATATCTAGAGAGTCATTTGGGCAGCGGCTGACTGGCAAGAACGGGATATGCACCGCTTCGATGCTTTCGGAGCGTGCGGGCGGCATGCATTCGGGATGGCCAGGGACCTTGGAATGTAGGGCGATGATGTCGGCGTGAGAGGCGGCAGGAGAGGGACCAGGTGATAGAGGGGAGGGCTGCGGCGTGAGCACGGGAGCCTGAATCAGATCAAGATGGGGCGGGTGCAGAGGGAGTCGTGGGGAAGCACGAGAGCGAGTGGACGTGGATAAGGAGCAGTGCAGGGAGAGGGAGTTGGAGGTTCCACGAGGCGTAGAGCAGGGAGCAGGCCAGGCGAGCGAGAGGAGAGGGCCCGCGGGACGGAGAGGCAGGCTGGCCGTGCCGCACCAGCGGGCACCGTGGGCCCCCGCCGCGGGGCGCGCGCGCGCGCGCCAGGCGAAGGTCTGCGAGATCGCGCCGCCCCCTGCGGAGTGGGTCAATTACGCAGACGGCTCACCGCACCGCAGGGGCCCCTTGAGAGAAGGATTGTAAAAAAACGAAGGATTGCAAAAAAACGAAGGATTGCAAAAAAACGAAGGATTGCAATCCTTCGTTTTTTTGCAATCCTTCGTTTTTTTTGCAATCCTTCGTTGTTTTGCAATCCTTCGTTTTTTTTGCAATCCTTCGGCACGGTGATGAGTGCACATGCGTAGCAGTATGGACGTTCCGGTGTCTGTGTGTGTGCGCGTGTGAGTGCGTTGAGCATTGTGCGGCCCCGGCCGCACGTTCTGGGGCCCTCTGGCTGACTGGCCGCGCTGCGTCGCTGCGTCACGGCGCCAGCATCGCAGAGCGGAGTTCGGTCGGAAAGCGATGGGATGGGCCCGGATTGTCCTGGAGCGTTTCGTTCCGGATTTCGATTTTAATTTCGTGCGGATTTTGTTTGGCCAGGAATGAAGACTACAAAACATCCACGTGACATTCACTTCCTTTCTCTTTCTTCGTTTCGGGGTTTTGCATTGACAGAAAGCCACGCGCAAATCCGCTGCAGCACGTCTGCAAGGCCAGTTCAGTAAGCTGTGCGCGCGGCCGCGCCGTGACGCCCATGTGTGTGTGTGTGTGTGTGTGTGTGTGGGTTTGTGTGTGTGCACGCGCCACGCCTCTTGCCCGTCCCCGCCGTTCCTCCCCTAAGCGGGCCAGTGCGACGTCTTCGCGCGCCCTTTTCAGGGTCTCCTCGCATGCTTCCGCACATGCACGGCATTGGGCACCTTTTTTGTTCTGCATCCGTCACCAACCGCTTGTCGGTTGGAATCCTGCCGACATGTGTTCGGCGGTTGTCAGCTTAGCGCATCCCGCTATTGCCTTCGCTGTGTTGGACCATCTTGCCGCGAATCAAAAAGTGTTTTCGTGCCAACCTCACTCAGGAGCACACCGCCGGCACTGCCCTTCCCGCCTACCTCTCATGAACCTCAACCTCAACATAAACTTCGACGACGTAATCTGGTGCCCGGCAAGAGCCGCCAGTGAACTGCTGACCAATCCGGCCTTGCCGAGGCCTTCCTGCGTGCTCCCCGACTCAAGCCCCAACAACGACCCCACTGACTTGCTGCCAATCTGGATCTCACCTAGCTCCCTCACCGACCCTCCTCGGGGACGACTGGCCTTGCTCTCGCTCCAGACGCCATGCTGCCCCGCCCACACAAAGGGTCCATCCCCCCTCCTCGCCTCGTCGCCGCCTTTCAGGCCGTGCGGTGCGACTCCACATCATCGGCAGCTACTAACCGTGGCCCGTCTCCCACCTACTTTTCCTCGTATCCCTCGCCCGCCGATAAGCGAGGATCATGCACAGTAGGCGACGTCGAGGCGGTTGATGGCATCCTTGCCCCGTGGTTCGCACATGCGGCGTCGTTAATTGGCAACCTGCGCTGCAACCATGGTGCGTTCGAGTTCGCGCATGTTGTGGGAGCCACTGCCACCCTCGAGGTTCTCGCGAAGAACACCCAACACAGAACCTTCTCCACATGGTCCTGCACACCACAAAGGCGGAGGCACCTAGAATCCATGAGATCTGCAGACGCATCCAGACCTCCTGCGTCCCTGGAAAATCATGATGGGCACATCTTCAGATCACTGGTTTCTGGATTTTGGTATCGGGCCAATCAAGCATATCTGACAGATTCGGCATGACAATCCTATGTAAGATCTGAGGTTCGAAACGTCTGGACATGCGCTTTCTGCTCTTTCCACAAATTCGGTTGTCTCCCTCCTCGAATGCCGTGGGGGAAGAGGTTGCAGCCATCGAGCTGCCCCCAGAGGAGCGGCCCAGAATGCAGACTGCTCGCCTTTTGAACCCCGAAGACCTGGGAGGGCGAGACATTATACATGACCAGACTGTTTTCGGCGTGTGATTTCTCAGGTGCCACAAGGAGCATGAGTATGAAGAGAAAGCAGGGAAGGAACAACGAGGAAGAGGGTGAGGCCGACGAAGGTCAGAGTGAAGAAGAGTGAGGGGACAATGGATGCAGGGATTGAGGTTGAGGCAGGAGGTGTATCCTTTCTGTCGATGCTCTTCCCCTATCGTGTCTCTGCCTCGTACTCTTCCCATCTCTCCTCCCCTCTGCCTCCCCTGCTCACCTCGTTTTCCCTTCTCTAGTCTCACCTCCTCCCTGCCTGCTGTGTTCTGGGCCAGCGTCTCAGGGAACATTGCAGTAGCGCCGGTTTGGCTGCTTGGCTCTTGGCTCTTGTCACGCGAGAGAGATTTCGTTTGGTTTGTCTCGTGCCCAAACCATACCGTCCTCGTCTGGGTCGCAACACGGTGCAGGAGCAGACGATGCAGGAGCAGCAGCGACGGCGCGGCGAGTTTCGGGCTCGAGCGTTCCAAATCCAAATTCGTTCACGCGTGAAGTTGCAGCGCGCATGCGAGCACAGCGTATCTAGCGGGTGATTCTGAGGCTTAAGCTCGGGCCATTGCCAGGGATCCACATATGAAGCTCGGTGCAGGGTCTCGGGGTTGGCCCATCAGCTGTCCTGTCGCAGCGAGTGGGGCCACATGTTTGACCCACCAGCTGCTCTGCACGTTGTGCCAGCTCCTTCCTCGGCGTACAGTTCCTAGGGAGGCTGACATGGAGGTTCCCGTGACGGGCGGTGCCGTGCGACACGCGAGTCCTTCTGGTCTCTGGGTCCGTCTCGGGCTTGGATCGTCGCCCATCTGCGCAACGCCCGTTGACCTCCCCTGTCATCCCCGTGTCTTCCTCGCCGCGGCTGGCTGGGCCTTGTTCTGGCCCCATTCCCCTCTGGGGATCTAGCCTCGTTGTTTTGCCAACGTGGCTCTTCGCGTGCTGCGTTGATGTGCTGTGTCCCTTGGCTATCGTGCGATTGACGCCGCGAGGCGGCCGCAGCTTGTGCCCTCGTTGCTTCTTTCGGCCGATGTGCGATTCCCCGTGCTGCTCTGCATGTTGTCGCGCAAGGCCCTTGAGTCCCTCCTTCCTTCTCCTCCCCTCTCATTATTTCCCTCCTTGCCCTTTGCTTATCCTTCCTCTCCAGGGTACGGGCGCAGAACATGGGTTGCCATGTGGCAGAGAGTGTTCTTTCTGAAGAGATTTCGCTCTCGACTGCGTCCTCGATCAAAGGCCCTCCAGCCCGACGGGTACTCCGTACACGGGGGCTGCGGATCGATTCAGAGAGGCAAGAGGATGCAGAGGAGGAAGTGGAATTTGATGAACATGTCGAAGAGGGCGCGCCGACCACATGCCGTCCGTGCAACCGAACGACACCATGCTATCGAGGATTAAAGAAGTACCACCATTAGTGCCGACAGAGTGTACCAGCAGCACCCGCGATTAGGACCCTCCAGGGGGTTGCCCGTCTTGGGATGGCGCCCAGCAATCAAGCTCCCCCGAGCACGGCGACGGCTGGGCGGAAGATCGCGCGGGCCGGGGCAGGGGACTCGGAAGGTTGGTCCCACCCTGACGGCTCCGAGGCTCCACCCCAGGAGGAGGAGGAGGAGGAGGAGGAGGAGGAGGAGGAGGAGGAGGAGGAGGCGCCGACACCAGATGTACGCACCCGTGGCAGTAACATCGTGTCCCCCTGGCACGCGGCGCGTTCTGGCGCCTCCTTCCGGCTCCCCCGAGCCGCCAGGGCCCGCCCATAAGGGCAGGGAGGGGCCCATATCCCGGAGAGGCTCCCTCGCCACCCGGGGGGCAGGGAGAGGCCTCCTCCTCCTCCTCCTCCTCCTCCTCCTCCTCCTCCTCCTCCTCCTCCTCCTCCTCCTCCTCCTCCTCCTCCCCCATCCCCAGGAGCCCCCCCAGAGCGGGAGCGGCCGCAGGCTCCCCCGAGCGCTCGGGCCCCCAGAGGAGAGGCAGCCTCCCCGGCCGCGGGCCCCGCGGGAGCCCCGGGCGGCCCAAGGCAGGCGCGCTCGCTGGCCTGCGGGGGCCCGTGGGGGCGCCGGCGGCGATGGCAGGAGCCTCGAGGAGGGACGCCTGTGCCTCCCGTGAGGTGGCGCTGAATCTCGGCCGTAGCCGGAGTCTCCCGCAAAAGTGCCAGCCTGGCCGACATCGTGTCCGTGCAGCAGGAGCCGAGGCGGAGAGGAAGCCGATCAGGGGCCCAAGCGAGGCAGGAGGCATACAAGTTGGGCCTCGCAGAAGGACCGATCAATCACCTGGGCGTGGTCATCAGGCGTCTTCACAGATTGAGCACCAAGCTTGGCGATCCAGCCAGCCAATGTGTTTCCCACATACCAGAGGAAAGGAGGAGGCGGAGGAGGAGGAGGAGGAGCAGGAGCCTCAGAGGCGGGGAAGAGGACATCATCACCACTTTGGTGGGCTGTGTACCACGCAAGCTCAGGTGGTGACCTGGCTTGCCGAGCAGCCTCCGATCGATTTCGCCGCCAGATTCCTGGATAGGCTGCGATAGCGTTTTCATATTTTGCTCCATCGCCGTCGCGCCCTGACTAGACCTCCCGAACAAATTCAAACGTAGAAGCAGTGAGCAAGAGCGAGGGGACATAGATGATGGCTTGCGAGCCCGCAAGTCATTCCGCCCGCCCGACTGTCTGCTGAAGGCTCGGGAGGCCTCCGCACACGGCACGGAGCGGCACACTTGTAGAACTCAACGTGGAACACGACCAGCCACATCGTCTGAGTTCTGGCTGAACGTTGCGATATGCCGAGCCACCGGTATAAGTGCAGTTGCCCCACTGCTCCGGGGGCGACTGCCAGTCGCACCCAAACTGGCGAGCGAGCTCGGCGGCCACCGGTGGGACCTCAGCTTTGGGCCGCTGTGGAATGCCGATCGAGAGATGAACGGAATCAACTTCACAGCGTGTCCGAGCCCAAGCGGCAAATGTTCCAACATCGCGCCTCGAACTGCAGCCAGCCTCGGGTCCAGACCCCGCTTGTTTCTCATCATCCAGCAGGCGCTGCGCGAGGGCAGGGCACTGGAAGGAGACATGCCCGACCGCCTCCAACTCATGGACGCACGGCCGACACTTTTGAGCATTCCACATGCCGCATATGCCACACCGAAAACGTTTCGCCTTTGGCCAGAGCGAGGAAGCCCACAGACTGCGGAGAGGGCCCGCCCGCCCCTGCCTAGTCACCGCCCCCGCCGCCCCCTCCAGGCAAGCACGCAGACCCCGCGACCAAAGCTGGTTGCTCGGAGGCTCGTGTGCGTGGTGGCCGGGCTCATGGTGCATCCGCCACCGCTGTACCCCCTGGCGCAGGAGGCGTTGTAGACAGCAACACAGTGGCCGGCTCTTCGTCGGGCATAAGGGGGATGGACGATTGCATGGCCCAGCCGACATTCAGCGGCCCCCTCGCGGACGCCCCCGTGAGCTTGTCGCTCCCAAGCTCGTGCAGCTGCCTCTATGCTCTTTCCAGCCCAGGCTGGCGGTCTGGTGCCACAGTGCCCGAGCGTAGCTCACGAGCGGGCCGACGGTGGCCGCGGAGATGGGGTCGCAGTAGGGCTTCTTCTGGCTGGCCAGGTAGAGGGTGATGCTCGCCCTCCTCTGGCCTTGGCGTTGACCAGCCTCGCGGCCCCGGAGCGCCTGGCGCAGAGCTCCGCTGGCACTGCCCCGCCGACGGCGGCCTCGTGGGCCACTGCTGGGAGGCGCCTGCAGGCCGCTCGCTCTGGCGCCCGCCGCTCTACGGAGGCGCCTCGCCCTAGGCATGCGGGCGCACTGGCCCCGTAGCCGCCTCAGCGCCACAGAGCGCTGTGCCCGCGAGCCCATCAGGTCGTGGCCGAGGTCCCGCACATGCTCCTTCGTTGGGATCCTTTGCGCGCTCGGCGAACGGCACGGCAGCAGCGCGCCCCTGCCACGAGCCCAGACTTGAGCAGCTGCAGCTTCGTGCCAACATCCGCCACGCCGTGCAGCAACAGCTTGACGGTCCGCCACAGGACCCGCATCTCGCGCAGGTCGACGCCAACACACTGCGCCGAAGTGTCATCCGCGACAGGGCTTTCGGAAAGACGCCCCAACCCGCGAGCCTCAGCAAGGCCCTCGCCGCGGCCTCGACCAGGACGGTAGTCGAGTGGACGTACCTTGCCAGGATGCCTTGGTGCGTGGTGAAGGCTTGCGAAAGCGACCCAAAGGCCTTCATCCTCCTCGGGAGGTGTTGGCACTTGACAGCCGTTCACAGCAGGCACATCGGATACCGCAGCACCCTGGCCTTGTCGAGGGACGCCTTGGCGAGCAGGCTGTCGAACACCTTCCGTGCGTCGAGGAGGACCGCATTGCTGTGGCCGCTTGTGAGGGCCACCACCTCGGCCGTCAGGTTCTGGTCGAAGGCCGAGGCGGAGGAGCTTATCCCCGCTACTGTCACTCCCCACTACAGGAGGGGGACGTCGGCCTAGGGAGAAGGGGTCGACGGAGGAAGAGCAACATAAGGATGATGATGACGATGCTGATGATGATGCTGATGATGAAGAGTAGTTGGAGGGGAAGAGAAAGACGGAGGGTTCCAGCTCGAGGCGAAGCGAATCTTCATGCAGGTCGAGAGGCCCGCTTTCGGTCATGAGCTCGCCGTCGCCATTCCCGTCACGTCTTGAGCGCATCTCCCTTTTCATTCCTGTCAGCGCCATCATCATCGTCGCCGTCATCGTCACCACTGAGCCGCAGATCCTGCCCCCCCGCATTGGATGATCCCCATACCCAGGGCCGGGCATTCGCTGCAGCAGACGTCCTAGCGTTCGGGTGGAACCTGGCATGCTGAAAGAGGCCGTGGAGCGACAAGATGATGATGCTGCGAGCTCTTCCCACCATTGCGTCGGCCCTCAGATCTCGAGAAGTTCCTCTCGTAACTGTCGCTGCCATCGCTCTGGCATGCGCCCCTCCCCCCAGCGCGCTAGGCTCTGACCTCGTCTCCGAGAAACGTTGGGAGGACCTGGGGCAATACTGATAATGTGGAGAGGCGAAGGAGGAGGCGTCGAACAACTTTAGCATTGAACGTTTGCTCACAAACTGTAGCATGACATCTGTGGCGTGAGCAAGGTAGGGCTTGCGCCCGCGGCTGTTGGGAATTTTGCACCGCGCTGCTCTTTCTTGGAATGGCCTCTTCGGGGCATGGGGGTACGGGAGGGATAACAAAACGTGACTCATGATTGGTGGGATGGAGCAGGAGGAGAGGGTACAGGTAGCATAGGGGTGGATGCGGATTAAGGAAGGGGGCAATGATGCAGGGGGCACGGGCAGAACTAGGAACATGGGTAGGGAAGGGTGGATACGAGCAGAGAGGAAGATATTGGCGATCATGGCCGTGCGGAGGAGCATGAAGAGAAGGAGCAGGAACACCATATTGTTTGGGAGGAGAAATGTGATGAGCATTTGAATGAAGATGCTGATGAGGAGAAGGCCTGGGACGGTTCGATCAGGGCAGGTTGGGATGGAGGTGGACGGGGAGGGATAAGGACGGGACGACGGACACTGATGGTCGAGGGCGTGAAGGATGATTCCGAGAGGCGATGTCGAAGGTCATGGCAGGGCACTGATCTTTGCTGGCACCTGCGTAGCACATTGGGGGGATCCCAGGGACATCGATTGGTTGAATGGGGAGCGGGCGAAGGAGGAGGCTGTTCATGATGCTTGAAGAGGAGGGACAGGAGGAGTAGGAGCAGGTGGGCGAGGGGCATGAAGCAGACGTAGTGGGAGGAACCCATCAGTGGAAAAGAGGGAGGGGGATGATATGAGGGAAACGGGCTGGGACATGAGGTATGAGGTAGTAGTGAGAAAGGGTAGGGGTGGGTGGATGAGAGATATGGAGATATCCAGATAAATAACCTATACGCATACAAGAGAGGGAGACACAGGGAGACAGAGGGAGACAGAGAGAGAGAGAGAGATAGAGAGAGAGACATCGAGAGCGCAACGATTCGGACGAGGTGTCTGTTGTTCGTCCGCAGGTGGAGGGTCAAGCGCCTCCTGCGCGCACCTCTTGTGGCGGGAGGGGCCGCACATGACTGGCAGGAGTGGCTTTCTCCTCACCTCATGGCGCGGTCCAAAAGACGACCCCGACCTCAAAAGCTGGCGGGTGGTGGTGATCAGGGTGTGGCACACCCCGTCCGGCGATCCCGGAGCTGAAAAGAGCCTCCGGCTTCTCGCGCGCCTCGGCATGCGCGCTTCGGAGAGGAGGAGGAGGAGGAGGAGGAGGAGGAGGAGGAGGAGGAGGAGGAGGAGGAGGAGGAGGAGGAGGAGGAGGAGGAGGAGGGAGAGGGGGAGGAGGAGGGAGGAGGAGGGAGGAGGGTGTTCGCACGCTTCGCCATGCGCGCCTCGGAGCCCAGGAACGACGGCGCCGCCCTGGGGCACCCCCCCCTCGGCGGCCCTGCGCGCAAGCCCCTGCGATGGAACGTGTGCCAGGCTTTCACACGGGCTGGGGTACAAAACAGGTGCACACGGCTCCGCCCAGCGGGGGGTGCCAGGGGCCTCCACGCGTGAACCTTCGGTGGCTCAGCGAGGGGATCCTGAGGGATGGGGGCCTAAGGACGGGAAGGGATCCAAGGGTGGACTTGCGCTGTTTGAGGCACCTCGCCCTCAGGACCCCATCCCTCAGGACCCCATCCTTGAACCACCGAGGCAGGACCCGCCGTGCAAGCAGGGCCGCCCTTGGCTCCGCCCGGCACCACGCCGGCGGCACCACGACGCCGCCAGCGAGGGGGCAGGCAGGAACTATGGAGGTGCGGGGGTCCTGTTACCCGTCGGCGCACGAGGGGGTTTTCATGACCAGTGGGGGGCCGAATGCGGGAAAAGGTGAAAAAGGCCCCAGTGCGAAAGGAAGCCAGGCCCCTGGTCGCAGCCTGCTCACGAGGCCCTCACACGGCGGTGCACGCCATATCCCGTATGGGCTGGGCCTGGCACTGCGCGGGCAATGCACGTGGTGGCGCACACCCGAAAGAGGCAGATGGAGGACGGCAGTGGGAGACGGTGTACATGGCAGCGGCGCCGTGAGGCAGCATGGAGCATGGGGACGGCCCTCAAAAGACAGCGAGCCGTCGGTCAGTCGGCGTCAGATTGCAGGGTCGGACGAAGACGTCGTCGTTGTGGTATGTCGGGCCCCAGCTGCGGTTGAAGGCTTCAAGCCAGGACAGGCGTCGGTGATGGGCGTTGTCCGCTTCCGTGGTGAGGCGTCGGAAGAGGGTGTGCATGACCATCACGTTCGTGGCGCCATGGTTGGCGCCGAGTGTGTCGCCCAGGCAGAGGGAGGGCATCGAAGCCGTACGTCAGAGTGAGTCGCGCGGTCCTGGGCAGGGCACGCGACAGGGAGCGCGGTGCTCGCGCGCGTAGCTTGAGGCACTAGTCCGCTGTCGGTGTGTCGCCTCATTACGGGGCCTTCGTCTTCAGTCCCCAGGGTCCGAGGGCGGGTCGCTGGTCGGTAACCGGCGAGGTGTGGGTCCGGTATGCGGCGATGGCGCGACGGCCTGGTTGGAGCGGCGGCCGTGGGGGGCCGTGAGGGGGGCACGGGCCTGGCGAACAGCGGGGTCGCCGTCGCTGGCGGCACGCCCTTGTTGCTTCCGCCTCCGCCTCCTCCTTCTGCTCCTCCGCTCCGCCACGTCCCAGGCAGAGCGAGCGACAGAAAGAGAGAGGGAGAGAGAAGCGGGAAGCCAGGAGAGGTGAATGCGACAGAGGCGGCAGTAACCAGGCGCAACGAACGGGGGCAGACGGTAGAAGAGAGGGGTGGGGAATAGCGCAGGAAGGAGGAACAGCGAGGTGGAAGGGTAGAGGTGGGATGAGGAATGGGCGAGGGACGAGGGTGAGAGGGAAGGCGGGAGGAGGATAGGGACGAATATACATATATCGGCGCACCGGGTCCGGGGGCCCGGGGCCGGGACCTCGACCGCAAATGTGCACCCCGGGGGGCCCGGAGGCTCGTCGGGGCTTGCCGGAGGCCTCCCCAGTCAGGCAAGACGGCCCAAGAAGCGCCCAAGACGGCCCAAGAAACTTCCAAGAGGCCTCCAAGAGGGCTCCGAGATGCTGAAGATGGCCTCCAGACGTCCAAGGACGCCCCCAAGAGGCCCCAAGAAGCCTCCAACATGCGTCCCAAGAGGGCCCCTAGACGCAAAAATTGGCCCATTCCCTTCGTAAAACGTACATTTTCAACAAAGTTGTCTTTTGGGCTTTCCGACGTTACAGGACGGCCCAAGAGGCGCCCAAGACCGCCCCAAGACGGCCCAAGAAGCTTCCAGAGGGCCCCAGGACAGCCCAAGAGGGCCCCAAGACGGCCCAAGAGGCGCCCAAGATGGCCCAAGAGGGCCCCAAGACGGGCCCAAGAGGGGGCCCAGAGGAGGACCACGAACCGCAAGCTCGAGCCTTCCGCCCCAAGAGGCCGCCAGGAGGCCCCCAGGAGGCCCCTCAAGAGGCCCCGGGAGACCCCAGACGTCCAAGGACGCCCCCAAGAGGCTCCAAGAAGCCTCCAACATGCGTCCCAAGAGGGCCCCTAGACGCAAAAATTGGCCCATTCCCTTCGTAAAACGTACATTTTAACAAAGTCGCCTTTTGGGCTTTCCGACGTTACAGGACGGCCCAAGAGGCGCCCAAGACCGCCCCAAGACGGCCCAAGAAGCTTCCAAGAGGGCCCCAGGACAGCCCAAGAGGGCCCCAAGACGGCCCAAGAGGCGCCCAAGATGGCCCAAGAGGGCCCCAAGACGGGCCCAAGAGGGGGCCCAGAGGGGGACCACGAACCGCAAGCTCGAGCCTTCCGCCCCAAGAGGCCGCCAGGAGGCCCCCAGGAGGCCCCTCAAGAGGCCCCAGGAGACCCCAGACGTCCAAGGACGCCCCCAAGAGGCCCCAAGAAGCCTCCAACATGCGTCCCAAGAGGGCCCCTAGACGCAAAAATTGGCCCATTCCCTTCGTAAAACGTACATTTTCAACAAAGTCGCCTTTTGGGCTTTCCGACGTTACAGGACGGCCCAAGAGGCGCCCAAGACCGCCCCAAGACGGCCCAAGAAGCTTCCAAGAGGGCCCCAGGACAGCCCAAGAGGGCCCCAAGACGGCCCAAGAGGCGCCCAAGATGGCCCAAGAGGGCCCCAAGACGGGCCCAAGAGGGGGCCCAGAGGGGGACCACGAACCGCAAGCTCGAGCCTTCCGCCCCAAGAGGCCGCCAGGAGGCCCCAAGGAGGCCCCTCAAGAGGCCCCAGGAGACCCCAGTCGTCCAAGGACGCCCCCAAGACGCTTCGCGTCACCAATTTCTTCTCGCAACGATTCCTGGGTCTGTGACTCGACAGAACCTAAGCGCGCGAAGCGCGCGCGTGGTTCTAGTATTAATAGGATAGTGAGGAATATGACGTGGAGGACGAGCAACAGCAGCAGCATGATGAACAATCTGATGGGGGGAATTGAGGAGAGCGAGGAGGACGAAGGAGAATGACGGCAGGATCCCCAAACAAGCATGAGGAGAATAGAAAAGACGGAGGAAGAAGGAGAATACGCCAGATTGAAGAGGAGGAGGAGGAGGAGGAGTCAACATCCGCTGGCAAGCGTCTGACAACTCATCGTCCAAGCTGCGCGACGCATTGGATACACTCTTTCGAAAAGGGGGCTGTGCGAAGAGGCCTGGAGAGGGAGAGGCGGAGGTGAAGTACAAGGGGAGTAGCCATGGGGCAACTCTTTCATCTCTGCACAGTCGGACCTGCTCTGCCCCGTCCCCGCGCCCCGCCCGCCTTAAACGCCTCCTACTATCCCATCTCTGGTTTCCCACCTCCCTCCTAGTGGTGTCACGCCGCCAATGACATCTTGAAGCGTTTCCTGCGTCATTGAACCGGCTCCCTGAAAGCCAATCGGTACTTCAGTGGCGCCGCCATGCTGCAGCTCCGTGGAGCCCTGTCTCGCTGCCGAAAGCGGTGCAGACCCGCCAGTCGGAAGCAATACGGGGAAACCTTGCTTTCCCGCACGCCCACGCCCCTCGCTGTCCTCGGTCCCGCCGCGTGCGGGCGACCTGCGGCTCCTTTTTTCGGGGGCATCTGTGGCCAGGCTCGTGGTCCCGGCGGGAGCCTGCCCTGCCTGAGGCGGGAGAGGGCCCGCCTGCGCCTCCTTCTCTCGGGCGCTGACGAGGCAAGACGACTTGGTGGATCGCACGGGTAGACCAGGCTCCACATTCGGGTTTACCTTTGCATCCCGCTACAGGCCTGCAAGACGGGGCCGTGGCTGGTATGAAAACGGCGGGTCCGTGGGCCGGGCGGGACACAGCCATGTTGGGGTCTTCTGAACCACACACGGCTTGCTTTGCCACAGCGGCTGCATGAAACTTGGACGAGAAGAGGGAGCTTGCACAAGTGAGACAGTGCGGACACGTTCTACCCTAAGAGCCTCTACACCACGGTCAACCGTAGCCCTCCTACGAGCCTCCTTGACGACGTCCTCCAGTCCCATAGAATCCTCGGGGTCCCAGTGGTACTGCTGGACTGCTGCCAGCCCGTCTCTAATGAGGTCGGCGTGGATATCTGCACTTTCTATGTCTGGCGAAAGAGCTCATCATCGGGAATCCTCCTCCAATGGGCGGCCTCGGAAGCGAGTTTTGTCAGCATGATCGTTGAGGTACAGGGCCCCAAGGGGGATGTTTGCTTTCCCTCCGCATCCATCCCCTCCCTCTCCCCCTGCCACTCCCTTTCCCCCCACGCTAACCCCATGAGCGAACACTGCGAAAGCAACCACAGCAAGGCTGCGCCGCAGCGTGAGACGGACGAGCACCAGGCTGCCAACGAGCAACACTATACATCATCCCGCGTGCAGCACTCGATGCAAACCATGACAACGAGCTGACCAGCAATTCCCCGCTCCTCGCTCCTGCATCCTCCTCCCCGCCCCTCACACCCCACCCCATTCCAACCAGATTCGACGCACATTCCAATTCGATTAAATTTCCCGATTTGATGCTGATTGGTCCTAGGGAGCCGTTAACTCCTAGAGCGTCGTGACACGCGACGCGGATTTTCGATGGGCCGGCAGCGCCCGCACATTCCACAGCGGATTGGCTCGCGACCCAGAAGGCCGACCCTTCTTTCCCTCACCCCTCCCCTCCCCTCCTCAATCTCTCTGCCCTCTTCCACCCCCCCCGCCCCCCGTGCGCCGACGTTGCACCCCGAGGATGCGGGCCTGGACCTGGTGGCGCAGGGCAAGTGCGCCGCCTGCGTGCTGGCCGGCGGAATGGGTGCGCTCCCCGCCGCGGACGGTCGGCTCGGGCCCAGACAAGCTCGCGGGGGGGGGGGGAGGATCGGACAGTGGCGAAGCGTTCTGACCTGCCAGAAGGCCCACCACAGAATGTTCTGTTCTCTTTTCGTGGTTAGTACGGCATGCAGTGCAGGGCTGAGGCTCGAGGCAGTGTCGTTTAAAACACGTAGGTTTTATGTTACGAGAACATTTCCTTGATCCTACCACACTATCGGAGTTTGGGTGGTGACATCGAGATGGAACGGAGGGCCCCCCGCCGGGAAATCGGTTTCGACGTCGGGTTCGTATCGTGCGTGCGGGCGAGGCGAAGCTGCGTGGGCGGGCGAGAGGAACGACTCCGCTGTAGCGAGGGCGGGTCAAGAGCCTTTGTCCGCCCCTCCTCCCTCCCCGGTGGGCAGGCGGTGGGTGGCCGGGTTGTCCCGCCGTGGTGTCCTGTCGGTGTCCTGTTGGTGTTCCGTGGCTGTCCCATGGCTGTCCCCTCGCTGTCCCGTCCGTGTCCTGTCGGTGTCCCGTTGGTGTCCCGTCGCTGTCCCGTCAGTGTCCCGTCGGTGTCCCATTGGTGTCCCGATGGTGTCCCGTCGGTGTTCCGTGGTGAGATCGAGGGTGAGATCGATAATGCGGCCGATCGTGAGATCGCTAGTGAGATCGAGCGAGTGAGAACGATTGGTGCCCCGATGGGGTCCCGTGGTGTCCCGTCGGTGTCCCGCGATTGTCCTGCCGGTGTCCCGTCGGTGTCCTGTGGTGCCCCGCGGTGAGGTCGATAGTGAGATCGATCGTGAGACCGATAGTGAGATCGATAGTGAGAGAGGTGGCCAGATCGATGGTGTTCCGACCGTACTCAGCACTACTGCTAGACTCATCACCACTGTGGCCATCACCTCTTCCATCAGTAGCCAGCCATCACACCTAGCACCAACCATCACAGCACAGTAGTGGTGGCATTTATTTGGCCTCATGGTGCCCTGGTGGTTTCTCGATGGTGATGTCGATCGAGTGGGTTTGATAGTGGGACCACATCGCGACGCAGCATCGTCACCACGCGTCGTCGCCAACTAGAGGGCGCACCACCAGCATCGTCGTCATCACCGTCATCGCAGTTGTCGTCAGTTGGTTCGTTCTCCCCCACCAACCTCCTTATCACCCGAAGGGTGGTCGTATAGGCACAGTTACATCTAGTGATCTGTCGTCCTCGGCCTATAGGAATGCTGGGACGGTCGGTCTGGTCCCTGCTCAAGAGGAGCATCAGGAGTATCAGCACTGCGCATCCAGGGTTCGGAGGTCGATTGAACTAAAAAGTTCGAGCCTGACTATGGAATTCAAGCGGCAAAGGCTGGCGCGGCAGCGGCTACGGGTTCCTCCACGGCCATGCCGTGGGTAGCCGCTCGAACGTATGGAGTGAGGCCGTCGCGTCCCGCGAGCGTGCGGGTAAATTGGCACTTGTCGATCTTTGGGAGGTTCTCCTTGCCCTTGCGGATGAGCTCGCGGCACGGGGCAGCGAGGTGGCGTGGGTCTTCTGCGGCAGTCTTGCCGCGCTCGCGGCAGACGTACAAGCAGCGAGTCTGCATATTACGTGGCATGCAGCTCGCGTCCGCGTGCTACGGTGTCAGGCCGCCCCGCGAGCATCTGTATTGCGAAGGCCTTACGGCCGTTGCCGCCGACCCTGAAGATGACGAAAGACAACACGAGGGGGGGGGCAGGAGGAGGAGGAGGAGGAGGAGGAGGAGGAGGAGGAGGAGGAGGCGGAAGGGAGTAGGAGGAGGAAGGGTGAAGGGGGAGGAGGAGGAGGCCTTATGGATGTTGGTTGGGATCTCGTGGTTGACCTCTCGGGGGCGTCTGGAAGGCAACTTGAAGCCTCTTGGGGGCCGTTGTGTCAGGCCGCCACCGCGAGCACCTGCATCTGCTCGCGTGCAGCTCGAACCCGTGAGCGCTGCCCTGCAGAGAGATCTGGCAGCTTGGCAGGGCGCGGGCCCTTCGCTTGGGAGGGCCGCTCGGCGACCCACGGGTCTACAGCTGGCGCGTCGGCGAGCGCTCCGTGTGCTCGCCGTCGGATCGGCCCGCACTGTGTGTGTCGTGCAGGTCTCTGCGGGGGGCGCTTCGCGAACGAGCGCCGCCTCCTCCTCCTCGTCCTCCTCCTCGTCTTCCTCCGTCTCCTCCTCCTTTTCCTCCTCCTCCTCCTCCTCCTCCTCCTCCTCCTCCTCCCAGGACCGCTGGGCGGCCACGCCTGCCCGAGCGTCCTCGCCTGTGTTGCATGGTGTGTGCGCGTAGCCGACAGGACCGGAAGCCGGGCCAGCGGCGTCCTCATTGTGAGAAGGCACCCGCATCACATTGACGGAGCCAGGGCCGCGGGTGCGAGCGGCCTGTCCTATGCGCCATGCGCTGCCACAGGTCCCTGTTCGCGCCTTCGGAGGCGTTGGTGCCGGCACGACCTCCACCCATCTAGCAGAGGCATGGTACTCCAGATTTCGTAATAAAAGGGAGGGGGGTCTCATTTCGGGGGGGGTCTCTTCCAGGCTATCTTGGAGGGCCTGGGGGGGTCTGGGGACGATGTTTTGGAGGGTTCTCCCCCGGGGGGGGGGTCTGAAATGACTTGTCTGGGAGGGTCCAGACCCCCTCCCTTTTATTACGAAGTCTGGAGTATCTGTCACGTAGCGCAGGTCGTCTGGCGAGCTCTCGAGCGCCAGGGGCGAACTCGAGCAGCGCCGCACGCGAAAGACAGTTGGAGAAAGGGGCCCCCCAGGCCCGAGATTACTACGCCGCCCCGGGAGACCCACTGCCCGAAGCGGCTTTTTTCAGTGCGAGCACGGCCGCCCCTGCCCTGCGGCGGCGGGGGTCTGAGCTATACCCCTCGGTCGTTGAAAGTAGGTATTTTTGGATTCCCAGATTCCAATCTACTTTCAGCGCCTTCCTACTTCAAGAGTCGAGTGGTTTTCCCTCTCCCCTCCTCTTCAGGAGGCGGGGCGGAAACCCAATCTATTTCCAACGCCTTCCGACTTCATGTTTCTACCTACTTCTTCCGACCGATGGGCACTGACCTCCTGAGCCTTCACCGTACGGGGTGAGGAGGCCAGCCGAGCCTTCACACCCCTCCCAGTCCCGCCCAACCCAGCCCTACCCGGCGGCCCCTCCCACATCGGCAGAGACAGGGTGCGTGTCCGCAGGATGCGGAGAAGGAGGCGCATGGGGTCGAGGAGGCTGAGGGGACGAAGGAGGCGGCGGCAGAGGGGGCTGGGTAGAGAGACGGGAGCGAGGATAGGGGGGAGGGGAGGAGCATGGGGAGAAGGAGGGATGGGACGAGGATAAGAAGGACGAGAAGGAGGAGCAGCACGAGGAGGACAAAGTTACGAAACTTGCAAGAAAGAGCAGGACGAGCAGGATATGAAGGAGCAGGCAGAAGAGATTGAATATCAGAAGGATGCGTGTCATAGAGAGAGGGTCGCGCCCCGGACAGGCACCAGGCTGGGGTCCTCGTACCCCAAGGGTATGCTCGGCGCCGAGGAGATCGGTGAAGATTTCCTACCCTCTCGCAAGTCGATATTCCAGTTGCAGGCTGCTCTCACGTTCTTGTCGTCATTGACACGTCCGCAATCATCCTTCCCTCACCGTCCTCACATCATCCATTTCCTCATACATGTTGTCGTCGCCTCCTCATGCCGCTTGCTGGACCTGGAACACATGATAGTGACACTGCGAAAAGCTAAAGCAGCCAATCTGGAGCAGTTTGGATTTGGCTTGTGCACAGCAGCTTTCGGATAGGTACAACCTGACATGTTGTTTTAAGAGGGCGAGCGGGCAGAGATCAGCCACGATATTCTGAATGGGCAGGGCCCGTCTCTTTCATGCCACCCGACGGCAATATGAAGGTTCAGAGTTTGCGATTAGCAGCATTCGCGTCTTACCCTGGCAGTGGAGCGTGCGAGGCACCGTACGGTGCAATGCGCGCCCCTGGTAAAACGAATGCTGGGCTCGTTCCTTAGCACCCATCGGGTATCATAATGCCTCTGGTGCTAGGTATGTTTTTTTGTTTTTTTCTGGTGTGTTGATATGCGTAGAGATGCTGTGCCTGGCAGCTTGCTCACAGACGGAGCGTGAAGTCCCGGCCAACAAATAATGAGATCCTGTCAGGAGGAGAAAAAACACACAGACACAATTCATCGTCCATTCCCAGGAAAATATGGGATAATGTGGGAACATATGGGGGGTATTTTCATTTGTGTGTATTTATTTGTGTGTCCCAGCTCCCCTTCATCCTGGTCGGGCAGGCGGCCCCCCCGGCGCGCACGACGAGCAGGAGTGCCAGGCACCGCCAGGGCAGACCAGGAGGGCCAGGGCCCGCGCGGCAGAGCACTTCTGCGTTGCGCGGGGGCGTGGCACGCTGCGAGGCCTCGCAACTTTTCTTCTCCTCCTCCTCCTCCTCCTCCTCCTCCTCCTCCAGAGGCACTCACGAGTAGGCTAGAGCCTCGCAACGGTTCTCCGAGCAGGGGCACTCACGAGTACTCCAGATTTCGTAATAACAGGGAGGGGGTCTCAACCCTCCCCGACGAGAAGTTTTAGACCCACCCCCCGTGGGAGAACCCTCCAAAACATCGTCCCCAGACCCCCCCAGGCCCTCCAAGATAGCCTGGAAGAGACCCCCCCCGAAATGAGACCCCCCTCCCTTTATTACGAAATCTGGAGTGGGCTAGAGCCCGCACTGTCTAGTCTTTGGCGAGGGTTTCGCTTTTGCCAGCCTTGAGTGGCCAATCTGACAGGTTAGTGCTGAACAGGGCTGGAAGTTTATGTGTGCGACGAGTTCGATTCACCGGGCATCATTCCTTTCTCCCCACGAGCAGGAGCTCGTTTTGTTGCACACCGTTGCGATGCAGCCGTCGATTGGTGAGACCGCCGAGATTCGCGCACATCTTCAAAGTGGTCGAGCACATATTCGCTGCTTGCCCTGAGCATTTCTCAGCAGGGGATCGCTCTGTTCGCGCGACGGGCTTCGACTTGCGATACGCAAGGGATCGAGATGATTGCGTTCTTCTCCGAGCTCGTGCGCTATGCGACCGTTGCCTCTGCGACATACAGCACAGGACCAGCTGCGTGAAATCTCTGGGGCTGGCGCCCAGAAGCTGTCCGGAGGTCATCAGATGCGGCACGAATTGCGCAAGGATCCCCGTCGTTGATTCGTAAGTTCCCTGCGTTCTGCGTCCCAGCCCCCGCTCGGCCGCCCGTGTCGCTCAGGTTGCAGTGTCGCAGTTGTTCCATCTTTCATTGCGTGCGCTCCTCCTGCCTAACTATAACAAATCCGCCTCCATCTTGTCCTCGTCCGTATCGTACCTGTTCACATCATCCTCTCCTCCTTATCTGATTCATGCATTTGTCTTTGCTGTGTTTCCTCAGCCTCCTCGTGTTCTTCCTTCTCGTCCTCGCCGTCATTATTATCCCCGCCGTTCGCCGTCCCGTCTCATCCTTCTCCCTCTCGTTGCGTCTAATCCTCCGTCGCGTCCGCTTCGTTCGCTTCCTCGTTATCATCTTCTTGACCTTCTCCTAATCATTTGCCTTCTCATCCTCCGTCGTTGGACGTCTCCCAGTGTATGCACTCATCATCTTCATTTTTTAGAAGGCCTTGCGGCCAGCCGACCCTTACAGAGGGGGAGGACGACGACTACGACGGCGCTGACGCTGTGGAGCCATTATCGGGGCACTCTTGGGAGCTTACTGGGCTCTGTTGGGGGGCCTCTTGGGGGACTTCTTGGGGAGCCACCTGGAGCCGCCTCAGAGAGGATCTTAGGCTTCTTGGAGGCACGTGGGACATACTCACTGTTCTGCTCCTCGCCGACCTCCTCACCACCTCCGCCTCATTCTGCTCCTCCTGGTGCTGCCCCCCGCTGTCCACACAGGGCTACCCATGGCTCCGAAGCCCCGGGGCCGCCGTCCTCATCACCACCTCCGCCATGCTGTCCCTCCCGGTGCTGGCTGCTCCTCCCTTGCCCACAGAGGGCCAGGCGAACCAATCGACCCGAAGCGCCCGGGCCGCCGTGGCAGCACACAAGGCATGCGGCCGTCGACGTGCTGCCCCCGCGGGCGAACCCAGCTCGATGCGGCGCAGGAGGGGAAGCAGACACAGACGCAACTAAGCATCGATTCCCAGGAACACATGGGAAAAGATCGGAAGGGGAGGGAAAGGCGAGAGTCCAGAGGAGATGGAAACTACCAGGATCCTGGGAGTTGTGCCTGTCTGTCTGTTTGTGTCTGCCGGGGCCCTTTTTTTCTACGGCGCAGGCAGCTGGGCCGCGCACGTGCTCGTGGATCTCCCGTTTCCTGGCGCGGACCGCCTGCCTGGCACGAGGGCCGGCTCGGCGCTCGCGACCGCCTTGCTGCAGATGGCAGGTGCCCCCGCACGGGCACGGCCCTGGGTGATGCTGGGGCCCGGCTTGGCGCTCGCCACCCGCCCCGACCCCCTGCTGCAGATGGCAGGTGCCCTCGTACGGGCACGGCCTTTTGGGGTGACTCTGTCCCGCAACGGGCCGACCGCGCCCTTCCCGCGCCGCCGTGCCCTTCCTGCACGTCCTCGTGCAGAGGGCCGCCGCGCGCCCGCGCGGGACCCCCGGCAGGCCGAGCGGATCCTGTCGGTGCAGCGCCGCGCGCAGTCGAGGGCCGGCCTGGCCGAGGCGCCCACGGTGTTCTTCCTCGTCATGACGGGCGCGGCCACCGATGCGCCCACGAGGCCCCCGGTCCCACTTCCTCCGGCTCTTCGTGCTAGTGCCCCACCTCCTGGCTCTTCGTCGTCGTCGTCCTTCTCCTCCTTCCATCTTCCTCTCGCTGATCGTCGTGGTGTGTACCCTTCGTTCGTGCCAGTGGGCGTCTGCGGTCTCTGACCCTGAGCTCGCCTGGCATACGGGTCAAGACTTTTCGGGCCCAACGTTGCGGGCTCGCTTCTCCCAACCCCGCGCTTCAGCCTTGCATCCTGGAATTCTGCTTGGCGATCCAGCCTGGTATCAAGAGTTGCACCAGCAGTTTGAGCTTTCCGCCCGTAGCAAGGATGGGCAGCGGAAGGAGGGATGGGGGGCTGAAGACGGACGTGTAAGGGGACAAAGGGGAGGGACAATTTGCACCAGCACGTTGTATTCCATAAGCAGATGGCTGCGGCGCCCTAGTGAGACCGCGATTTGACGATTCTCAGCCACACACCCAAGTTGCTTTCGGGAATTTTCTGTGGTGACCAGGCAATGCGTGTGTTGAGATTGTATCGGTCTTCATTATTGTAAATGGTGGAGCTGGTGATGAAGATTGGTACGCGGCATTCATACGAGAGCGCGATTGCAAAAACGCGCAGCTGTCCATCCGTGTTACGGCGTTGAGTGCATGAGCGTTCAACAACGTCCTCAGCGAAACGCCCGCAACGCCACCTTGACACGCCTGGTTTGGCGACGAGGGCAAGGGCATCTGTAAGGGAGAGGGTTGTTGTTTTGAAAAGGAAGGGAGGGAGAGGGGAGGGGAGGAGGAGAAGGATGATGATGAGGAGGAGTCCGTAGCCACGTTGGCTCAAGTTGAACCCGTTGTCGCGGGGGCTCGAGCTTGAAGGTCCCCACCGCCGTGTGACAATTTTCGAGGGGGCGCCCAGACGCATCCGTTCGAATCCAGGGTCCAGTGAAAGGACTCTCCTCCATTCCTAACGGCCGGTTCTCCCGATGGGCAAGAAAGGTGACCGCGGACACCTCGCGCCGAAGTCCGCACGGGGCAGCTGCTGGAGGTGCAGCACGTGCGGGCGCCATCGCAGCGGGAGTTGGTGGACGTGGTGCAAACAGCGAGGTTCACAGAGGACTTTCCGCCTCCGCCGTCGATGGCGGCGGCGATGCATGCGTTCGGTCAAGCCAAGCTCCAGCGTGTTCCCGCGGTGCAGGCAACGGAGAGGCTTGGTAGCAAGCTCGCGCTTGCCAATCATCAGGCGGTGTTGGGCAGCAGGTAGTTCGTTTTGTGCGAAGCGACATGCCATGCTGCTGCACGCGCAGTCCGTGATGAGTTCCTTCTTACTGACGACACGGCTACACCTACGGTGGGGCAGGCACCGCGACCGGACATCAGTTCCATCTTGGAGAGCGGCGGGGTGGAGCTGGGCGACCACGGCTCCTTCGGTTTCACGGGGGAGGGGTTCGCGAGAAGGACGAGCTCGCGAAGTGCAAGGACCAGGTCATCGCGATCTTCCGCGAGGCGGCCACGTCGACGTTTGCGTCGGCGCAGGGGCGGCCACTATGCGTGCCAGGGTCCCAGGGCGCGGCAGGCGTGGCACGTTCTCCACGCCGCATGGGGAACCGCACGGGGTGGGGTCGCTATGCGCGCCAGGGTCCCAGGGCGTGGGCGGCGTGGCACGTTTTCCACGCCGCATGGGGGTGCGCACGGGGTGGGGTTGCCATGCGCGCCAGGGTCCCAGTGCGTGGCAGGCGTGGCGCACTCTCCACACCTCAATGGGTCAGCGCAGGGAGTGGGGTCGCTACGCGCGCTATTGTCACAGGGCGCGGCAGGCGTGGCACATCTTCTGCGCTGCAAGGGGTGCCCAGGGGGTGATGCCGCTATGCGTGCCAGGGTCCCAGGGCGTGGCAGGGGTGGCGCGGCCTCCACACCGCAACGGGGACGCACGGGGTAGGGTCGCTATGCGCGCCAGGGCCCCAGGGCGCGGCAGGCGTGGCACGTTCTCCACACCGCAGGGGGTTCGCAGGGGGTGGGGCCGCTAAGCGCGCCAGGGCCCCTGGACTCGGCAGGCGTGGCACGTTCTCCACACAGCAAGGGGTGCGCAGGGGGTGATGCCGCTATGCGTACCAGGGTCCCAGTGCGTGGCGGGCGCGCCACGGTCTCCACGCCGCAAGGGGTGCGCAAGGGGTGACGTTGATCCTAGGTAGGCCTCCTGCAAAGGGGTGCGCACAAGGGCCTGCTTAGAAGTAGAAACAGAAGTCGCAGTATAAGTAAAAGTAGTCGTAATAGTAGCAGTACTAATCGTAATCGCATTATTATTATTATTATTATCATTATTATTATTAGTAGTAGTAGTCGTAGTAGTAGTAGTAGTAGTCGTAGTAGTAGTAGTAGTAGTAGTAGTAGTAGAAGA